TTTGGATACCTAATATATAGCAGAGTCTTGGAGTTATGCCATCCTTTGAGTCAGTGCTATGGGACTGACTGCCTCATAAGTAAATCTAGTCCTCTTGGCATCTCAGTAACTAACTCCCCACTACCTTTGAAAGTTGGATTACACTTTGAACTGTATAATTCTGTTGTTCTTTTTTTTAACCCTCACCCGAGGATATTTTTTCCATTCCTTTTCAGAGAGAGTGGAAGGGAGAGAGAGACATAGAAACATCAGTGTGAGAGAGACACATTGATTCGTTGCCTCCTGCTCCCACACCGACCAGGGCCGGGGACTGAGCCTGCAACTGAGTTGCATGCCCTTGGCCAGAATTGAACCCAGGACCCTTCAGTCCATGGGCCAACATTCTAACCACTGAGTGAAACTGGCTAGGGCTATAATTTTGCTTTTATTTTAAGAGATTATTTTTCATTTTGTGTCAGTGTTATTTTAGTCAGATTTTTCCAATGTGATCAGGTGTAGGATACTTCTTGAATCACATCTTTTTTTTTTTTTTTAAATATATCTTTATTGATTTCAGAGAGAGGAAAGAAGAGCGAGAGAGAGAGATAGAAACATCAATGATGAGAGAGTCATTGATCAAGCCCACAACCGAGCATGTGCCCTGACCGGGAATCGAACCCCGATCACCTGGATCCTAGGTTGACGCTCAACCACTGAGCCATGCCCGGCCGGGCTTGAATCACATCTTTTAAGAATAAGTTAGGGAGCCCAGCCAGGTATGGCTCAGCGGTTGAGCGTCGACCTAGGACCCAGGCAATCGGGGTTCGATTACTGGTGAGGGTACATGCCCGGGTTGTGGGCTGCAGCGGATCAATGACTCTCTCATCATTGATGTTTCTATCTCTCTCCCTCTCCTCTCCTCTCTCTGAAATCAATAAAGATATATTAAAAAAAAAAAAAAGAATAAGTTAGGGAACTGAGAAGTTCACTTAATTTGGTCAGTTTTAAAATATGCATTTGCTTGTATATTTATGTTTATTTTAACATAAGGCTTAGAGTATTTCAGTTTATAATAAGTAAAATGATGCCACTGCCAAATATTTGTCACACTGTACGATAAAAGCCATTCCCATATGTGGGGAATGCCTTTTCCCCTTTGACACATTTTTCTTTCAATGAAATGTTTCCTGGTTTAACTCATATTAGGAGAATCCACCCCTTAGTTGCCCCTGAGAACCCTCATGCAGTAGATCCCTGGAGATTAGCTTTATTGACATATTAGAATCCTGCTGTAAATAGATGCTCTGATCCCAGATGCTTTAGAAGAGTGGTTAAGCAGTCTATAGCATAGCGATACAATGAAATAGAGCATTGCAGTTAAAATGCCAAATGTGTGGGCCATGTAGGTCTGTGGAAAAGTGATATAAAAGATGTCAGTCATAAAAAATAAAGCTTACTTAGGGTTGTACATGATCATGACAATTATGAGATCTATTATGTATAGCAGTAAAGATAAAAGGTTATTTACTCAACACACACTTATTAAATACTTACTGTACAGTGCAGGAAACACATAATGAATAAAATACTGTCCTTTCTCTCAAGAACTTAAATTCCTTGCTAGAGTACCTTAAATTCTTTAGGGCATTAAATCCTGTAAATGGCTGGCGTTTTTCCACAAAGGGCACTTACAAACAGCAGCAAATGCCCTGTTTCTTTTTAAACGT